TGCCACGTAGATGCCACGTAGGTGGATCCAAAAATACTTGAATACACCTGGAACCAGAATGGCCCGTTCTGAAACCAGAACGGGCTGTTCTGGTTACACTATTGGTGTGTAAAATTTGCACTTGGAACGGGCCGTTCTGGGCCGTTAAGCGTGCTTGACCTGGAGTAGTACATGGATAGGTGACCTTCTGGGAAGTTTCCCAGAAATTGTACAAGTAAGGATAAAACACGCTAAACAGTGAAATATTGTGAAATAAAACTCTTGAGAGGCCAAATATGAAGGTTGTTTCATTAATAAATTTATTAAAATTAAAAAAAAATTAAAATTTTTGACGGAAAATTCCGTCAGAAATTTTTGACAGAATTTTTTGATGAAAATTTTCAACAGAATTTTTTGATAGAAATTTCCGTAAAAAAAAATTTATTTCTGACGGATTTTTTTTTCAATGCCACTTTTTTTGACAGATTGAAATCTGTCGGAAATTCGTTGGAAAAAGAAAAATCTGTCGAAAATTTACTTGTTTCCGTCGAAAATTTTCGTCAGAAATCAGCATTTTTCTTGTAGTGCTAAACCATTGAAAACAATTTTATTGTTCATGTCCAGGATTGGCACAATGAGAGCAGACACCATTGGTTTGAGATTGTTCATTCTATCCCTAGTAGCTCCTTGCATCGCGAAATTGACAACATTAGAATTGGTTTCATGGGTATGAGCAATAGTTTGGTGACGTTCTTCAATCATGATTTTAGCAAAAATTGTGTTTAAACTTGACAAAGGATCCATCATCAAAATGTTTGAAACAACAATATCATAAAGAGTGGAATCCAAACCAATAAGAAAAGTATGTGCCTTTTCATTCTCTTTCTCTTGAGCAAAGACAATAGCAATAACACAAGTGCACGTCAGAATAGTAGAATATCCCACAAGTTTATCCCATATCTTTTGTAGTTTATTGTAGTAATTCACTATTGGCTGCCCGTGCTACATACAAGCACCCAAAAGAGTCTTTAACTCATGGATTCTCGGATAGTTTCCTATTGAGAAACATTGTTGAATATCATATCTCATGTCTTTCACATTGTCAAGTTACGGAACGAAGGAACGTAGAATTGGATCAGGAATATTATGAATTCATCCCACAAGTGTGGAATTAACCATCATCCATAAGGATGCTTCTGGAGTTCCTTTTATTGACTTGGTTATGGTTCCATCGAGGAAGTCTAATTTGTTCTTTGCACTGAAATTATTGTGCATTGAATGAACCAATACATTATAGTTCTCACCACGTAACACAATGGGACAAATTGTGATGTGTGGTCTATTAAAGGGATGGAGGTAGTAAGGTGATGCGGAGTTGAGAGGTTTCGTGTTCATGTCGCCACCCATGATGAGATGACAATATAGAGTAAAAAATCGTTGTCATCTCTTGTCTTGGAGTTAATATGATATCATATAGAGTTTTGAGGAATGATTCTCTATTATTAAATTTGGGCAAAGTCGTGAATATATACAAAGATATATATTAAACTACATTAAAAAAAATACGTTAATAGAAATTTTTTTAAAATTAAGACCTATCAAATTTTATTTTAAGAGTTAAAAATAAAATTAAAAATTAGATATTAAAAAATGTTTAATATCGTTATATTTATGGGTGAAACAATTTGAGAGGCGACAAATTATAGGGGCTGAAATTGTATTGGAAGCCACAGAACTTTAAAATTGAATGTATGTTTTGTTGCAAACGAGTGTGACTGTGTTGTCGTCGGTGCTGGTGCCGCCATCCCCTTTAATTTCTTCAATAATATTTTTAACACCTTATATATAATATTATTTTTAAAATATATTAATATAATTTAATATATAAAATATTAAGGCATTACATGTATAAAATTTAAAGTTTATAAAATGTAATAAATGAGTAAGTAAAATTTTGATTAACATTTCAATCCATGTCACTCACCTTGAAGCTTCTACGCTGCATTGCTTTAGAATTTATAATCATAAATTCTTAATTAAACTCTTCTCTCCTTTTTCCATTTTAACCTATATAGATGTTTGAAAACCTAGTCGAGTTAAACTCAATTGGAGTTGAAAAAGAAAACTATGTATATATGAACATGTGTTTTTATGTTGAAAATGATTTTAAACGCATAAATAATTATTAATCAAACACAAATACTATTTTCACCGGAGATCGGTCATAGAGAACGATCTGTTGGGCAAGATTGGTGAGCCTTCTTTGTTGGGTACACTTGCTGCTCCAAAGTGGGGATGGTATCTGCAAAAGAGACTGATGCTAAAGTTAGTGTTTGTGAATGTATATGTCTCATATAAGTAATGCACGTACCTTTGTGTGAATTAGGGTTTCATTGGGCCTTGGGCCCGAGGTCAGTTATGATCTATTTAGATAGTGGGCCTTATCTTGACCGATGTTGCCTGGTGCGTGTTTGATGTCAATCTGCGCTATGACGCCGAGCTCGAGCTCGGCTTCACGGTACGGATAGTACAAATACATGTATACAATGTCTACAGAGAATGTATGCGATGAGATATAAGAAAATGAGATGAACAAATCTCAATCGTCTGATTTAAATGAATGACTAAAACTAATAATCATTTTAAACAATTATGATCATGTATAAATGGATGTATGCGTGATAATATTATTACACCGAATTATAAGAAGTTTGGAAAAAAAAGAGTTATTTTTGACTACTTTAATGAAATATATAAGTGTGATTGTTGATGAATACATAGTAGATATTTAAAATACTTTTCATTATCATTTAAATTTCATCATAAGTATGAGATAATCGTGGAGTAAGAATGACATGAAGTGGAGAAGCCTTGATGTTGGTTAGTCCAATCTGTTCGCGCATATCGACGGGTTTTTCATCAGGAGTTACAATATCAAACCCATGCAATAAAGTAGCAAGTGATAGTTGCATTACTGGAAGACTAAAAGAGAGTCCAGGACACATTCTTCTACCAGCACCAAATGGAATCAATTCAAAATGTTGGCCCTTGACGTCCACATCCTTGTGGGTTGTTAAAAATCTCTCTGGACGAAATTCTAATGGATCAAGATATAACGAGGAATCTCGTTGAAGTTTTGAAATATTAGTTAATAGACGTGTGCCAGTTGGCACATGATATCCACCGACAGTGCAATCTTCCATAGTCTCGTGTGGCAAATTAAGTGGTGCTGGTGGATACAAACGTAAAGTTTCCTTGATGATACATTGGAGATATTCTAATTTTGTCAAGTCTGATATCTCTATCCTTTTTTTCTTCCCAATCTGGGTCTCTAATTCATCAATAACTTTATTTAAGATTTCACGATTGTTGAGAAGTAACGAAAGAGCCCAAGTCAATGTTCCTGTTGTAGTATCCGAACCTGCTAAAATCATGGCCTACAAAATAATTAAAACTTTCACTTTTGTATGCTCCTCTACCGACTTCCTAAGAAAAAAATTTGAAATATATATAATGTTGACATTAACATTCTACGAGAATACAAAGAAAATTTTAGCGCCGATGATGACAATGAAAAAAGATTTATCGTCTACAATTTCAAATTTTAAGAATAGAAACATGGAAGTTTTCTTTAAAAGTGCATACATTATATTAATTTACGAGAGTGAAATCAGGAAATCATGTATGGTGTGTTGGAGGGGATGCTTTATTAGGTAATGGAGAAGAAATGAAAGGATCATCAAAGAATTAAAAAAAATGTGTTTGGAGGAGATGATTTAAGTGGATTTGAGAGAAAATTGTAATGGGACCTACGGATGGCAATGGGGCCCCATGCGGGTGGGTAATAGTAAACCCGTCCCCGCCCCGCTATATAAAAATTAGGGCAATACCCATCTCATATCCACGTGGGTATCTATTAAGCAGGTATTTATGAATTTCTTGAATACCCACGGATATCTATGGATATTTATAAATTTTTTAAGAAATTAAAAAAATTATATTACAAATAATTTTAAATTTATATTTAATGTCATTGAAATATTAAAAATAAAATTTCAATATTAATTTTGAATTTGTATTTAACGTTAATTATGTTGAAATAATAATAAATTAAAAATGCAAGATAATCAATAACTTAAAATACATCAATCTCATACAAGTAAGCGAAAGTCTCATATCACAAAGCTATAATAATTCAATATCATAATTTCAAACGTAAGTAAACAACTTAAAATACATAAATCTTATTGGTCCAATCAAAGCTAAAAAATTAATCAAATTACATCCAACATAATTCTATGGAAAGAAAATAAGATGAGAGTGTAGTTTTAGGGTTATGTGGTACAAGGATAATTAGGATATTTAATAAATATTATTAAACGGGTACCTGCAGATATGAATATCATCATACCCGCCCCACCCCATTTATAAACGGGTAAAAAATTATTCATCCTTATTATTCGCAAGTACCCAATTAGCCTATCCATTTATTATTCATAGCGAATTTTATCTACAGATACCCGTGAGTGCGAGTATTTTTGTCATCCCTAATGAAACCTATGTGAGTTTAATTTCACTCTCATAAGAGTGAATTTGTGTGGAATTCTTAAAAAACAATACATAGATACAATGACGGATCCACATGGATCATAGTGGAGACATTTCCCCCTCTAACATTTTTTATATTTAATTAGTTTATATATATATATATATATATATATATATATATAATTTAGCATAAATTTATTTTTACTTCTTTAAATTTAAAACTATTATTTTTAGTTTTTGTAATTTTTCAAAAAATTTATTTTAATCTTTCAAGTCATCAATAACAAATTTGAAAGTGATAGATTGAGATAATAATGTAATTTCAACATGATTTAATGTGATATTTTTACTATGTAAACATCGGTAAATAGATTTTAGACAGCAATATCTTATATATTTTCTAACAAAACTTAACTATAAAGAATAAAACAATATTTTTTTTAAAATTATAGAGATTAAAAAGATCAATTTTCAATTTGAGGGACTAGAAACAAATTTACATTATATTTGAGAGATTAAAAATATATTTAAACCTAATATAAATTTATAATAATGTACTCACACTTGCCATGTTATTAAAAACTAAGTATTTTCACTCTTTTCTATATTTTTGTTTTGTTAAAAAAGTCAAAGTTAATATATTAATTTTTAGAAGTATTTCTTCAAGTATATATAATACTTTGTCATGTAATTACAAGAGCCATGTTTGAAGAAAAAATAAGTTTTAAAATAAGTGTTATGTTAACTTTTAAATATGATATTAGTTACCTTTCTTTTTCATTTATATCCTTCATAATATTTTTTAAAAAGTGAATATTATATTGTATTGTCTATAATAAAGAAGATTTATCACAAGGTTTATTATTTCTAAAATGTGTAAAATAACCTAGAACGATATTTATTATGAGATGAAAATAGTACTAATTATAGTTAAGTCAAGTTAATAAAGAGATTAAGGAATGATGGCTGATCTAAACTCATATTATACTATTTTAAAAATAAAAAAAAGGTCAAAATTTTCATACAGAATATAGAAAGATATTTTTAAAAGTATTGAAAATGAAAAATTTATTTATTGTTTTTAAAATATAAAATCTCGTATAGAATAATTTGATGTTTTTTTATATTTAAAAAATGTAAAATTATACATTTAATACTATAAATTTATGTATGAGTACTGCGCTCACTATTTAAAATTTTTAGATTCATTACTGCATAGATAAGACTTCTCCTTACATTATTGTCTAAATAGTTAATTAATAAATGATAAAAATGTAATTATTTAAATAATATATTTTTATATAAAAATTTAACCATATAAAATATAATTTTAAAATATCCTAATTCTACTCTATCAAATAATTACACATTTCACATTTTTTTTACCTAATTTCTATTAAATTAATTCTCGATTTTATTTTCATTCTACTCGAGTCTCCCTCCTCTTCCAATCAAAACAAAGCAGTAATGGTGAAAGTGTAGATGTATTTACATTCGAAGTTTTGTTTATATTTTAATTTGTGCAAAAATGAACTACATCTGCAAATGCGTCATGAAATAGTGGATTGAGTTAAACTTATTTATGTTCAATTAGTGTACGATTTAGTGTTCTTGATTTATCCTGCACAGCTAAAAGTAATGGTGATACATACCAGGCAAGTAGCTTTGATTGTGGTATCGACATCACGTCCGTCAAACTCTTCACCCTTCTCGACAAGGTTAAGAAGCACGTCCATGAAGTCGTGCGTACCGGAACCGCTATTCCTGTTGTGTTTATGTTCTTCGAGCCAAACTTGAGCAAACCCGTCTAACTCTTTCGCCGTTCTCTTCATATCCTTTTCTCGCCCATCCAAATCCAACCATCTCAAATAGGGAAGAGCATCAGAGATTGCGAATGACCCGCTCAGATCAAACAACTCCCTCAACACCTTTCGGATCCGTTCGTTCTCTCCATCCTCCCCATCGTCACTAACAAAACGTTTTCCAACCACCGCTCTGAACATAATGTTTAAGGTTATGTCCCCAAACCACCTCTTCATCTCAGTCTCCACCTTTTGGGAACCACTGTTTTTCTTCTTCAGCCAAATATCTTTCATCGCCTCCTTCACCGCCGATTCCATCACGTGTTTGAGCAGGTTTATTCGGTGAGTAGAGAGGAGCTCCAACGTGGTAATTTTGCGTACATGACGCCAATAAGAACCGTAGGGGCTGAACCCCATCATGGAAAAGTTGTACCCCAACACTTCAAAGGCCACAGATTTTGGACGGCTTGCAAACGCTCTGTCGTTTACGGTGAAGCACTGTTTGGCCATTTCGTAATTGCTAACAACCAAGGTTTTGTGAGTACCAAGACGCAAGGTGAAGATGGGGCCATATTTGTCGGCCATGTCGCCCAGCGTGACGTGAGGTGGTTTTGAGCCACCTAAGAGGTGGAGGTGACCGATCAAAGGCCATGCACCGCTAGCTTCTGGTGGTGCTTTTTTAGTTGCAGCAGCGTTGCGCTTTCTTGATATGGATGAAAGAACAAAGAGAAACAACAACAACCCAAATATTGTAAAGATAAATGGTACTGTTGAATGCGAGAAGGGATTTTCAAGGTACATGGTGCCGGAGGATCTTATGATTGATTATGGGAGTATGATATCGGCTTCTTGGTGCCATAAATACAGAAACTAAAGACAATTAGGTCCCATGCTTGCTCGTGCATCTCTCTTTTGGTAGGTGAATGGGGCACGCAAATTAAAAATTTCTTTTTAATACAAATTAGGTTCAGAGATAAATACGAAATTTACAAAATTTAGATAATTTTTTTAAATGCTTCAACAATCACAACTAGGATTTTATATGCTTCAACAATATATATTAATAAAATCTGTTAAAATTTTATCTAATTAATATATATTAATGAGATCGACAACAAATATAATATTAAAATCCTACTAATCGAACGTTTCTAACCGTTCCTTGGTTTTACATATAATGTCAAAGATGTCGGTTTTTAACTGTTAAAGTAATGGGTATACGTCTGTAATGCAACTCCTTTTTATTATAGTATAAATATAAATTGGTGTGGCTGCTACTAATGTAAAACAAAATGCTGCCTGTGCCGGTGTTTTTATTGTATGTTCTTGACTTCTTGTCGCCTGTTTTGTTGTTTTGTTATTTCGATATGCATGTGATAGACTTGCAAAGAAAATGCTTTTTCCAAAACAGCACCAAAACTTAAACCACGCACAAATGGGAATGCGTACTTAATTTTATCCCACATCAAGTGGGTGAGTGTGATATAATTAAGTTGAACACCAAGCCATATAGTTGCAAAGCTGGACTTTTATACTTCACTTTGATGTTACAAAATTTTGTTTGTATTCTATAAATGTTAAAAATTTAATAGTTATTAACATTTTCCTCTTTTACTAGTATTATATTGATTTATTTCTTATCTTAAAGTGAAATACGCCCTTCAATATATGTGCATTATTTAAAAGAAAACTATTATAAATTTATGTTAGTTTCCATTAAAAATTAAAAAAAAATATCATGTACATCATATATATTTTCTAAAAAATACGAGTAGGTTTAAAATTTGTTATGGATGAGTAAATTGTATTTTTAGTTTCTCTATAAATTTGAGTCGCATTCTCTCAACTCTACTGTTCTTACCGGAGATTTGCTGTAGAGGTGATCCGCCGAGTAAGATTGGTGAGCCTCCTTCACTGGTACGTTAGTACTCCAAGATGGGGGTGGTACCTGCAAAAGAGACTCCGATGCCAAAGTTAGGGTTTGTATGAGTAGATGTCTCGTATAAGTAATGCACATACCTTAGTATGAGTTAGGGTTGCGTTGGGCCTTGGGCCTAAGATCAGTTATGATCTAATTAGATAGCGGATCTCGTCTGGACCGAGATCTCCTGAGATCGGTTATGATCTGGTTGGATTGCGGATCTCGTTTAGACCGAGGTCTCCAAATGCGTGTTCCGAGGTCATTCCACGCAGCTGTGCCGAGCTCGAGCTCGGCATGGCGGTACGGATAGTACACTAGCCCCCCGAGATCCGAAGACCGTAGGTCGAGGAGTTTAAGACCGAGCTGGTCAGGGAGTAGTGACCTTTCGCGTACGCCTGTTTATCGACATGCCATGCGTCGCAACTGGGCATTTCCCGAAAACGTGCAAGTGGCGCGTTAATGGGAGTGACGGTTATGTAATGATGGTTTGTCTTTGTCATAATGGTTCTCAATTAATGTGTCATCAGATGTGTCCCTTGGCTGACGCGTGTGATGAACGTGTTGAATTTGGGAGGAACCCTTTTCTTTCACTCCCGCCTCTTCCCTTTTCACTTTACTCATTTTTCGCTCTTTCAACTTCTTGTGCACGCCTCTTCTCTCGCTTCTGTTTGTCTTCTCTGTTTCCATCGCCATTCCCGGCAACTGGGTTCTGCTCCTTCCTTATTGCTTCTTTCTTTTGTCAAAGGGGTACCAAGTACTTCGATTTCTCTGTTCTCTCTCCTTTCTCCAATCTTCTCCTTCTTTGAGTCTTTCTTGTTTTCTTTATGGCTGGAGAGAGTGGTGCTGGATCCTCCGCGCCTGCCAAGGGCAAAGGTAAGGCGCGGGGCAAGGCGGTGGCTACCAGAACAGCCGCCGCCGAGAAAAAAAAGGGGGTGAACCCGCCTAAGGACCTCGTTCCAGGCATTCCTGGCTACGATTGGGTTCGGTGCGAGATGGGGAAGGCCCAAAGTGTTTTTCGGTCCTTTCTTGAGGACAATGCGATTTGGAAATCGCACAGAGTTTGTGACTCTTCCGTCTCTCGGCTGATCCGGCTTGAACCTTGTCGGGCCGGTGAAGGCGTGTATATGGGGAAGTCTACTACCCTCCCCATTTCTATGTCTATCAATGTTTCTTTAGGGATTTAGGTGTCTGCCTTCCCTTCACTCAATTCGAGTGTGATTTCTTGAATTTTATCAACTCGGCTCCTTGCCAGTTGCACCCAAATAGTTGGGGTTTTTTGAGGGATTTTCAAGTCCTGTGTTCAGCCCTAGGGATAGAGGTGTCCCTTCCCGTCTTTCTTCATTTTTACCAGTTGAAGATAGGCGTTCCGCCTTATGGCATACTGTCCTTGAGTGGGAGTAGGGATGGGGGTTTATTCACTCTCTACTCCCAGTCATACAAAAGTTTTAAACAGGAGTTTTTTCGGGTTGCCCTTGTGGATGTCGACCCTTTGGAGGATGGGGCGTTTTACTTCGGCGGGTTGCCGAAGTTCCCTTTCTATTGGTGCCCCAAACCGTCTAGGTTTCACGGGGTGGACCAATTGAAATTGACGGCTTCGAAGACGGCCGCCATTGAGAACCTTACCGCACTTCCTCGCCCGTTGGATTGCAAGCTCGTCTTGTCGCTTGCGAATTCGGCGTACAAGGAGAGGGGCCTGGAGAGTGAGTATCTCGTCCTCTTTAGATTGTTAGGGTTTGTGTAACCTTCTTTTGCTAATGTGTTTTCTTTTTTGTGCTTGTAGGCGTAATGGGCAAGAGCAAGTGGCGTGAAGATCAACCGAAAAAGAAAGAGGGGCGAGAAAGAGGTCGGGGGGACCTCTTCCCCTCGTGGGACGGAGGAGGTGACCTCCAAGGCTGCTGATGCCGGCGCAGTCGACCTTACTGGGAGTCCTCCGCCCGGGGAGGCTCCCCAAACGGCCGTTGCGGAGACTGCTGGGCGAGTTGCTCCCTCTTCCAAGGTAAGTGTCTTGTTTTGTTTAACTTTTCTTCTATGCTGGTTTTGCTTGGTTTATTGAGGTATTGCTATTTGTAGGCAGGGATAACTGCCGAGGTGGGGACCCAGGTTGCTGAGCAAGTCGCCCAGGCCGCCGTGGTGAGTACCTCGCTTTTTTTCCCTCTATCTGCTAGGTTGTTCTTTTTTTTTTCTTGACATGGGGTCGGTTTTTGCAGGCAGGGGACGCGGCTGAGACTCTTGTGCCTTCGAGGTCGGAGGTGCCGGACGTGGACCCTCCCGTTGCCGAGCAGGAGACGCCAGTTTCTGCCTTTGTCGAGGCTCGTGGCAAGGATTTGGGTTTCGAGGTCCCCACCGCTACGCCTGCAGCTTTGGCGGCGCCAATACTTAGCTCATCGCTTTGGGAAGGGCCGCACGCAGGTGCGATTGGACCACGTGAGCGCCTCTACTGACATGAACTCGCTGTGGAGCGCGGGGGTAACATCTGAGAAGTTCTTCCCGCAGGGCTCGCTGAGCTCGGATGACCAGGTGTTGATAGACGAGGTCGGACCCGTGGAAGGCTTTGACGCTGCCCAGGTTTTTTTTGCAGAGGACTATGGCGATTGTGGACCACTAGAAGCATAAGTGGTCCAAACAGCAGGAGGACCTGGTTAGGCTGAGGAACCGAGTTCAACCTCTGAGGGACGAGAACAAGGTCCTGCGGGAAGAGAACAAGGTTCTGAGTGCCGCCCTTGGCGAGGCAAAAATTGCAGGGGGCCGAGCTTCGAGCAACAAGGGGAGAGCTCGCCAGGGTTCAGAAATCATTGGAGATCGCCCTGCGCTCGAACGAGAATTATGCCTCCCAGGTGAGTGAGCTGCAGGGGCTCGTCGGCTCGTCTCGAGGTCGGGTGCGTCTTTTGGAAGATGAGGTGACGTCTTCCTGGGGCCAGGTTCGCTCTTTGGAGGATGAAATGACATTTCTGAAGAGCGAGCTGGTGGCGGTGGCTGAGAAGCGCCTCTACGACGAGGTCGTCCTCGGTGGCAAAGAGGAGGAGGTCGCCTCTCTAAGGGTGGAGCTGGCGAAACTGGAGGCGGAGAGGGCGGCGTTGGAGAAGAAGCTTGAGGAAACTGAACGATCTATTATAGTCAAGCATAAGAGAGGTTTCTTCAAGGCGGCTCGCTAGGCCAGGCTCCTTGCACCGGGGTTTGACCTCTCTGCCATGCACGTGGAGAAGGTTGTCCGCTTTGGAAAGCTGGTAAAGGAGGACGATGCCGAGGACAGCTCCAGCGAGAACGCCTCTACGTAGGCTAATTTTGTAATAGCCTAGTTAAATTTTTTCTGCTTTATTTTTTTCTTGTTGAATTCAAGTGTGAAACTTTGAAACATTGTTGTATATATGTGTATTTTTCGTCTATTTGCCTTTGCGCTTTTCTTTGCTTTTGCGTTGATTTTTCCCATTTGTGTGTTTTGAGACATACGTTCAATGTCTGTTGTGTACTTTTGTACTTTATGATACTTGACCTTAATCATGCCAGGGTTCGAGTTCGACCTCGGATTTTTGCTAAGTAACTTTTTGTGAAGGTTCAAACTCGACCTTAATCATGTAGGGGTTCAAATTCGACCTCGAATTTTCGTTAAGTAACTTTTTGTCAAGGTTCGAACTCGACCTTAATTATGCGGGGTTCGAATTCGACCTCGGATTTTCGATAAGTAGTTTTTTGTGAAGGTTCGAACTCGACCTTTATTTAGCATAAAACATAAAATAATGCGAAACTAAGAAGATATGAGTCGAACTGAATGAGTCATTTTATTGATTATGTAAGTGTCCCTTGTTAAAAACCCTCTCAGCCAAAACCCATTTTTCTATTTTTTGGGATAAAAGACTAAGGCGGGAAAAGAGTGCACAGCTCATTCGTACAAAATTAGCTGAAATAAAACTTGAGATGCGTAGCATTCCAAGTTCGCGGTACAGGTTTTTCGCTGAGCTCTTCTAGTCGGTACGCTCCATTTTCCAAGTCTTCTGTCACTCGG